ACCCATGTGTGTATTTAACCCCTGGCTTGCTGCCTCCTGCATTCAGCTGTGCAGCAGAGAGGAGCCAGCAGCCCACAAGCTCCTCTCATGGCCACCAGCTCCTCCCTTGGCCACCTGCCCTTGTCCACGAGTGGCACAGACCACGCTGCATCTCCAGCCTCTACACCTGGAGGCAAACCTGGGCACAGAGYGAACTCAGCTGATGCTTCGAGGATGCAGCCAGCGAGGAGCAGCGTTCCCCCGCTCCGTGCTCACTGCTGGGACTGTGCTGGGGGCTGTGCGATCCCTTCACTGAACAGGAGCCCCAGCACTCCACTCTACCCAACACAGGCGAGCTGAGAAAAGCCAAACACATTGAAAGGCCCCAAGAGGCTGAGAGGATTAGGGAGCAAAAATCAAAACTACTGGTTCAATATATTTGAAAATGCCCTAATGATCAYACCAAACCATGTTAAATCAATTCCTGTTTCAATACCTATACCATTTTATCAATTTCTACCAAGTCATTTATACTATTTCTTTCAGACTATAAACTGAAACAAGCATGCAAGCCTGAGTCCTAACCACTGGTTAGTAAAATCCCCATTTTCCACATCCTCAAAGTCATTTTAAGTGCCCAACTATTAAGAGATATATCACAGCCCTGATGGGCAATAGCAGAAGCCTTAGAGTTTCTTCTCAACACAAAGCTCTTGAAAAAMAACCAGTTTATTTTTTACAAAGTATTTATCGATTTATTGCAWTGTATCAGAAAGTTCTGAATGGCCTGACCAGCTTTACACGCTTTGCTGAATTTTGAAACGAAAGCAAGAGAACATTTGCTTAAGTCAACAACATAAGTCACCAGTTTAAAGGTTAACACTTGATTGTGCAGCACAAGAAACAGACACTTTATCTTCCCAGTACAAGGACTACGGGATTTCTGAACAGCGGGACGTTAACGCTGCAACAGGCCAGGCTGCAGCACACTTGAGAGATGCAAACAGAACAGGGGGCAGCACAGAGGCCTCCGAGTGTCACTTGGGCCGACAGCAGCTTGGACCCAGCTGTCCCCCACACACTGGCATGCCAGCAGCCAGCTGGGAGACACCACTGGGCCATCACCCATCCTGTCCTGGCAGCAACTTTTGAACACACAGAAAACACTGGCATTGACACCAGCATGGTTGTGATTCATGTGGGGCAGCTGCCGTAAAGCTTGCAGAGCTTCCCTTCCAGCCAGGAGACACCAGAGCCAACCCCAGCACCCTCAGACAGAGGATCCTGTTCAAATCAACAGAAAACCACAGGGAAGATGAAAGTACTACACTGATGCGAGTACAGCTGTCCTAGATAAGGGAAACATAGAAATAAATAAGTCCTTATCTACTGCGGCAAGAAAACGGCAGGCTAAGGGGAAGAGGTGGGGGCGACGGAGAGAAGCAAAAMCTGTACCTAGGGAAGAAAGAAAATCTGAAATTAACTGAGGCATGCACTCATAGTTAATGCAGTTTTAATGTGAAAATTAATTTCAAAATCGCCAAAGTCACTAAGACATCAGCTTAGGCACCGGTCAAACCAACAGCTACTCTCTGTTCCTCCCCAAACACTGGCAAGGGCCCGCTCCTTGCAGCCAAGGCATCTGTACCAGGGATGCCTGGGGAAGGACCCATCAGTGCCACTGTACAGACAGTGACAAAAAGAAGTTTCATCAGAAATTAGTCTGGGAATCAAAGGGAGCAATTCTGAGCCAAAATGTCAGACTAGATCTATTAAAAAAAAGGTGATTGCTGTAGCWGGGCTGTGTTGTCATACATTGGTTACGTTTGTTTTAATTTTAAACTAAGTGTCAGTCCAAGGTTTGTTACACAAACATATGGCACTGGTATTACATTCTACCTTGTATTTATAGAAAGTGCTGTGGCGGCCCAGGCAGTGCAGAGATGCCATAAWGTTAACAACATTTATTATTAGTATGACAAAAGAACAAAAATAAGCCGGTAGAAATCGTGACTTAGAAGTTTAAAGGACTGATTGGAACTGGGTGCCAAAGTGTGGAGATAYTAGCTAAAATTCTTCCAGTATTAATACTCACGCAGTCCCCAGGCTGCCAAGTATTTAGTTATATAAATACACCCTCGAAAAGGTAATTTGTTTAAAACCCAAGCCCTGAAAACTGATTAGCACATTTAATGCTAGCCCGATTAACACAGATATGCCCTCAGCTGGGTGATGGGAGCATTGAGGCAGAAGTCCGCATTCCTTCGAGTGAAGAGGAACAAAGCTTTTGGGACAAAGGGTAAACCTTAATTATGCCTTTTTATTACCCAAACTGCCATTTCCTCCTTACCCCAAACAAGCCAAGAAGGCTAATGGCACATTCACATAGCCCCATAAGTGATGTGATTGATAAATGCCATTACTAGATTTTTCCACTCCAGCTGTTACACTAGAAGCAGCAGAGGTTTGATTCTCCATCCGCTCAGAAATATTTTAAAATAAAAATTTAAAAAGGTAAAAAAATAAAAGTAGGATACAGTACACCGCTGACATTCCCGAACCTTCTGAAAGTGTTTATTAACTTTGGCCACCGACCAGCGACGGCTGCAGGAGCAGACTGGAGGGGCAGTGCAAACTGGTTAATCTGTAGCTAGACATATCTGTGATTGGGGGGGGATGGTGGTGTTTAGCAAGAAATACTCCTGCCTGGCAGCCAGGGCTTCAGCACTTGGAAGGGTTACTGGGATTTTTTTTTTTTTTTTCAAAAAATTTTATTGGGAGAACTACAAAACATTTACAGTACAAAGTTTACAGTCTCACATAATTTGTAGTGAACTGACTCCCGAAAAATATATTACAACTCAAGTTGACTTATCCTTTAGTTACATTCAAAACATACTTCTGTTAAAGTAGTCCAAAAGAGTACATAGTGCTCAATCTGTACCTATGTACAAACAAAACTAAGCTACTGCTCATTCATCCACCGTCCAGGAAAGTTTTGGAAAACTCCCAACTTTCTACATTAGGAAAAAAAAAATTACAGGTTTTGGAATTCAATAAACAAGATATGTTCCTGTATGATATAAAGTTTCAGATCCAAAGATGGCCTCTGTTCTTATAAAATAGAGTGGCGAAATTTTGCTGTACTTAAAACCCATCCCTACATTCAAATTATCTCAAGCATTAAGAAAAATACTTATTTGGTTGAGAAATATTTAAGGCAAGCATGGACCCTCAAGAAGGCACTGTGAGACATAATACTGGGACCCCCAATTATTGCTACATACTTTGAGACTATATCACAGTGTGATTGGTGGAGTTAGGCAACAAAAATACTTTTTGGTTATTTTAAACAAGTCTGAATTAGATTTGCCACTTTGAAGTCTGATTGTTAAGTCAGTCTTTTTTCCGGGTTTTTTTTTTTTTTCTCTCGTTTTTCAACTCGGACGGGCTACAACCATTTACATTCTAAAAAAAAACCCATAGAAATTCCGCAAACTACTTCCACAGCATCGAGACCGATTTCTATAAAGAAACCATGCAATCTTTCAGATTTACGTAAACAAAGAAAGAAATTAATGAAATAAATATTACATACAATCTCTTAAATTAAGAATTTTACTCATTTACAATAAAATAACCAAGTGAAGTTACAAAAGGCATATATTACTGTGAAAAGAACACACTCCACATTTTGCCGATTAATAATGAAAATCATAATTTAAACATAATAAAAGAATATATATCTATTGCTTTTCATCATACCCGATAAATACAGTATGAACAAATTACCAATGTATACTTTTCACAAGATAATAAATAAGTTAAATAGTTTCATATTGAGTTGTGTGCAGTGACTCATTCATGCAATCAACTCAAAACAGCTAAAAAAAAATTTAAAAAAAAATCAGCAGTTATTCTCCAACAATTACAAACTAAACTCAGTTGAGTGCTTCCAAATAAAGCAACAACAAAAAAAATTGTTCTAAGCCAAACATCCACTAAGTGGTGGCAATGGAACCAATATTAAACTTTGGAATGAAGGTTTTAGCATTTGTTATAATAATAATATATAGATATATAAAAAAAGAAGGTTGTTATCAAGGCATATTCTTGGCAGGATGTTGGATTTTTCTTTTTTTTTTTTT